TGGTATATCTTTTTCTACCTGCACAGTTACTGTTAAATTTCTGTGCAATATGTTTATGTGTTTCTTGTCAGCAGCATACAGTTATTTTTTTAAGCAAGGCTGACAAATCTTATTGCTTTATTCATGCACCTGTAACATTTTAAATTTCTATTTATTTTTATTCCAGATGTATTGCAGTATAATTAAATTATGCAAATATACAAATAAAAATTGTATGAAGTTATGAAGTATATCACGTCTTGATATACCAATGAATTGTGAAATTATTACCACAGTTAATTAACATAAGCATCACCTCACATAGTGTGGTGATGGTTCCCACATGGACGTGGTAAGAACATTTAAGATCTACTGTTAGTGAATTTTAAGTGGACAGTATAGGAGGTGATTAGTGGCCTTTCCAGGTTCTCCACTGTCCATAGGCACCTGGTATAGCTAAGTATTGGGGTGGCCTTATAAAAATTAGGCTTAAAAAGATTTCTGACTCTACCTCCTTTACCCTTTCCCTACGTGCACCTGTCTCGGGCTGTTCAGGCTGTGATAACAAAATGCCGTAAACCAGGTGGCTACAACAGCAGCTGTCAGCTATAACGCCATGTTATACACATTGGATCTTTGGAACTTGTTCATCATGCTAAGTGAAACTTACTATCTTTTAATTGGAGTATATAATTCATTTACATATACCAGTATATTTTGGTTTAAATCTAAATCTTATCTTGCTATTTGTTCTATTGATATTTTTGTCTTTCTTTTTTGCTGTCATTTGTACTCGTTTGAATTATCTGGGGATAGTTATCATTCCATCATCCCTTCTATTAACTTGTGTGATTTTAGTGGTTACCTTATAGTTTACAAAATGCGTCTTCGAGTTATTAGTTGGCTTTTACCCCTTAAGGTCAATGTAAAAACCTTAGATTTGTGTCATTTATTGCATATTCCAACATTTTGTGCTATTGCTGTCATGTTTTAATTCTACACATAATTTAATCTACAAATGCTTTAAACAATCAGTATTTATTTACATTTACCAACATGTTTGCTCTTTCACATTGCTTCATTCATTTTGTTTACTCTCCTTCCTTCCAGAATTGTTTTTCTTCTGCTTTTAATATTTTCACTGTAGGTCTAATGGTAATAAATTCTCTCTTTCTGTTTACATAAGGCACAGAATTCTAGATTGGTAATAATTGCCTTTTAAAAAGACTTGATACAATTTTGATAGGGATCGTATTTAATCCATGGATCAATTTGGTGAGAATTTATGTCTTTGGTAAGTCTTCCAATCCATGAACATGGTATGTCCATTTGTTTAGATCTTTGATTTCTTTTATCAATATTTCATCAAAATTTTTTTTAAACTTTTGTTTCCTTTTATTAAGTCATATACACATAGATCATGAATACATGTATGCGGCTC